CCTTTCCATCTTCCGTTTTTGTTCTTCTACTTCCGCTCAGCGCTCTAGACCAATACCCTATAGCAATGGCCCGGTAAGGTGTCATACTAATGCACTAGGAACGTGCTGGAGGAAAGTCGTTTCTTTTTGTGTGCACACTGAGTCAAGCCAGTAGGGTTGAATAATCCATAAGTTTGACAAGATGGAAGTTTTCAGGATTAAATTAAGTCAACTAAAGTAAAAATAATAATTTATTCTGGTTGTTTGAATTCAAAACAAAAATGTAAAGTCAATTCAAGTGTCTGTAACAGGAACAAAGGCGAAGCTCTTGACATTGTATAAATTTTGATGAGCTTTCAAAAGAAGGGTGCTCTGAAAGGAAGAAATAGTGTAGTATTATGAGGTTTTACCCTACATAACCTAACCTGGTCACAGCAGACCACCTCCTAACATAAAAAAGTCACGGCCACTGGTGATCACTATGGAGCGACATCTTCAGTTGAACACAGACCCTATCATTGTTTAACGATCGCCTTTGCAAAGAACATGTTCTTCTTGTTGTTATGCCAAACACCCAATAAAAGGAGGCGCGGGCTTTGACTCGTCGCCATTCTCCACTCAGCTGACCTAATAGTGTTACTGATTTGGCATCCCCTCGTGTTTCCCCCAATATTACAATATTCGCTTAACATTCTCTTACTCTCTTATTCCTTAGCATTTTCATAAAATTGTAAATACGATTTGTTTGTTCTTGAGTATAAAGCTAAGAAGCCTCTTCCGTTTTTTTCATGAAATACACGTTTTTACATAGATTTTTACGAACACAAATCTGTTGCCGTTATCTTATACAACATGTTGCAGGGCGGGGCCGGAAAATTTGACAAACCTTTCCTAGAGTAGAGCTTTGCTACGCTCAGCTACTAATTCAAGCATTACTAATCCGGGGTTGCAGATGCAACGACCCGCTTAGCCACAAAAGAAGCAGCAAACCTTCCTTTTCATCGAAAGGGGGATTTGATATGACGCAATCATGCCTGTGTGGAGGCGACACAGTATTCAAACTGGAAAAGCGTAAAAGCGTACAAGCCAACTTTCGAATTTGAAGACAGTTTCTCACGATGACGTAGTAAGAGATCTGCCGATTGCTTCGGGGAACATTAATAGTCCCCACAGAGTAGTACTGTGGGCGTAGAATTGTTACTCTACCTCTACCCAGTTTGACATCAGTGCAAAAATTGTGAACTCCGTTACTTTTTGAAAAAGTTAGTGAGAATAACTTTGGTTGTCTCCTGGCGAAATATAGACAAACATTTCCACATCGAAATTCATGACTTGCGTTCCCTGAATTTGTCACTCCAGAAATGTGCTTTAGACGACTATTCCCTTCAAATTGTCCGGAATTTGGCAAAGTCCGTATGAACTCAGAAATTAGGAACGCACTGGAGTTCACATTTTGACCATTTAAACTGCTCTAGTCACCCACTGTTGCAGCATTCTTAGGTTTTTAGCCCGCCCTTCTGCTTCTAAAAAAGCATTAAAGCGGGCTTATGCAACCGCTCTCGTGTCCGTCCGTCTGTCTGTCCGTCGTCCGTGTAAGAGGAAGGAGAAGAGCTAGAAGTCTACAAATTTCAGGGTATCTTAGGGGTCACTCCTGGACAACGAAACGCCCGGTGCAAATCCTGGCAACCACCCCTAAGGGGATGAAAGGGGGTAACAAAGAAATAGGGGTTGGTCCAAAAAGTAGAAAATCAAATTATTTTTTTTGGTCCCCTAAGGGGTAACTCGTGAAAGTAGAACCCGTTGGGCTAAAATTTCGTCCGTTTGCCTCTATCTTGCACCGTTTGGGCGCTAGAGAGGTTTTTACGACGAAAATACGGTGAAAATGACCACGTTGCACATGAAGACGTACAAGGGGGCGTCCAATCGTTAAATGTCTGAGGAAGTACCCCCCCAAAACAGCACATTCTGAGTCTGATGGTACTCTCCGATTTACCGCATCTTTAACCGTTTAGGAGCTACAGTTAGATATTTTGAAAAAATTTGCAAAAAGTCAAGTTTTAAGACTGTTTCGCAAACCATATACAATCTACAATACACAATCTGCGCGTGTTTTATTTTTTTAATTCTTAAGCAAAGCAGAAGGGTGGGGTGAAGTCACGGTGTTGCCCCGTTACAGTCTTTTGTCATGTCCAAGGAGCAAATTTCTAGGGCCGCAGGCCCCCGACCGGACGCGTTAGTTTACTCAATTAATGCTAAGTGATTTACGGGTCACATTATTTATTTGATTATGCACTTTGGTAAATCGAGAGACTGAAATGGTCGGGCCG